AAAAAAACTAAATTAAGAAAATTACACCAAAACACAATAACTTTTAAAAAGATTAATTTGATATTGATATCGATATATTTTTTTTCAAAATTTTATGATATTTTCAAATTTATATTTTATTTAAAAATAAAAACATTATCATTTTCTCAAACCACATAATATCGTATTATATCGACATAAAAAAGAAATAAAACGAAACACTGAAATCAAGATGTGTCTCGATGCAATTGCACGAGTACCCTTCTAGTATTATAATAAACTATTTGAGACGAAATTTAAAAAAAAAATTGTTTTTGGTGTATCAAGTACTGTTTATTGATACATATTACTTAAAATTTATGATTACAAGTAATTTTGTGTAAAAACAACTTATTAAAGTTTTATATCTGAATTTATGTAATTAAATGCAGATAAACATTTTATTCAAACATAAATCATTTTCTCAAAACCACATAAACATTTGTGTATCTCGTTGTGTTGCTTCTTTTCATGTATAGTCCAATTTGGTCTTTGTTGATATTCTTCAACTGAGCATGGTTCGATGTCATCATACTATATCATCTCATGAGCAACGGTATATGCGAATATATCATCAATGAGTATGTATGATATGTCCATCGACTCATATGCACTCTCATAATTCATTTGAGATTTCTTTGATTTCTGAAATCAATATTAACTTCGAAGCGTCCTCCAGTAATAATTCATAAACATAGTTCTCATCAGAGACAATCTCATAAGAGGCTTATATATTGATGATAAATAGTTGTGTCTTACTCTTTTCTTTCTTTAGATGAGTATTTATCGAACCAAGTAGCTTTCCCTATATCATTTTTGGAGTCACGACCTTAATCACACCTCCACCATGTGTGATTGCAACACACTTTCTAGCAGTATTGTGCCCTTCTTTGGGGACTTTTAACCTTATTTGGGGACTTTTAACTTTGCATGTATATTTGCAGCCAGTATGCATGATCTTGTCACTTCTGAAATAATGTTAAACACATCAAGTATTGAGTCTAAGTCGTTTGACTTCAACTTTGTTGGTCCCGTGAGGGTCTACAAGAAGAGAAACAGTTTGTAGAAAGGGGGGATGAATACAAACACAATATTTTTATATTTAAAATATATATTGATAGAGAAGATCAATACAGATTTTACAAGATTGTTTACGGAAAGATAAGGTAATAAAAACCTATCTAAACAATCTTTGGTTACACACAAAGTCTTAGCAAATACAAGAAAAGAAATTGTTGTAAAGAATATCCTTTACTTAAGCTAGAAAATGCTTGAAGTAAGAATYAGGKTTAGAGAGTGAGTTGCGCGCACTCTGCATGGAGAAGAAACACTTCTATTTATACCCAGTGCATTAAATGAACATTTAATGCAATATGGTAGGGTTAGAGTGCATGTCAAACCTTAAGAGGAAGGCTTGTCCTTTGCTACAGTGAATAATACAAAAAGCACTATTCATGAGCAGACATCCTTACTTAAAGTTGGTGGACAAAGAGTCGACTAGTTGGCTTCGTACCGTACTAACTTTCATACTAACTTTCAAAAGGGTATGGGTTTTGTCATTTGCGTGCATAAGGACAAGACAATAACAATCATGCTAAGCAAGCTCCCTTTGATCGCTGAATGCTGGAATGACCTGAAGGTCTCATCATCATTCGCTGAAGCTTGAGTAGTCTTCACACATATGTAGACAGACTTGTAATCACTAAGTACCGCTTCAGATCACGTACTCGCCGGTCTCTAATCTTCAGTTTCAGTCTTCGACGTTTGTTGAAGGTTCTTTGGTGTGAGTGTTGTCTTCTTGAAGTATTGTTGTCTCTGATAGATTTATAGTGCAAGTTCTTTAGCGATCACTGAACATACTCAGTGAAGATCGCTGGAACTGAAAATACAGAAACATAAATACAACGTATAAGTAAAAGGGATTATCATCAAATCACTTGAGAGAGAGGATCAATAATCTCCCCCTATTTGATGATAACAAGATAACATAAAGACGGTTATCTTATCAAATAATAGTAAGGAAAAGTTACATACAAAGTGCATGTCCTTTTTTACTATTTTGGGATCTTTTTCAGTTTGGTCAGTCTCAGCTTGGCAATTTTTTTTAAGTTATATTCTAAGAAAATTTACAAGTACGGAAACTGAAACTGAAAGCTTATTCACTAATTTATGGATTGTTAGTGAATGCGAAAAGTAACACTGGAACTCTTAGACTTGTGTCCCTATTACTTTTTTCAGGGATCTTTTTCAGTGAAGTACATGGAATACTCATTTTATTAATCATAGGAAATATTACAAGTATTACAGTACATGTC